CTAAACAAGCCCAGCTCCCTCAGCCTTTCCTCACAGGAGAGATGCTCCAGTCCCCTCATCATCCCTGTAGCCCTCCACTGGATTCTGTCCAGTAGCTCCTCATCTTTCTTGAAGTGGGGAGCCCAGAACTGGACACAGTACTCCAGATGGGGCCTCACTAGGGCAGAGTAGAGGGGGAGGAGAACCTCCCTCGACCTGCTGGCCTGTTGACTTAATAAAACAGTGAAACAAGTAAGTGTATAAATAGTGGAAGCCCTGGTGAAAGCAAGTATTTTGCAACTTAACTGCAAAGAGCATTTACAAAGCCCAAACAAATGCAGAGAGACAAAGACTCAAGGGCCCATGGCAAATGAATAATGTGATCATCGCTTTTAAATGGTTAATGTTATACACTACAGAGCAACACACAGGCAGGAATTCTGTATCTCGGGTACACTGATACCGAAGAATCATAGAATATCTCAAGGTGAAAGGGATCCAAAAGGATCATCAATTCCAACTCCCAAAGAAGAAACCTGCAAGGGACTTAAGCATGGCAGTATTTAATCTGAGAAGACAGGAAGTAAGAGTAGTAAAAATCTGCCTGTGTTCATGGATAGATGTGCTAGTGATGTGCTACTAATTTCAAAATCAGCACGCAGTCTAAAAAGCAGGTACAGCTCCTTGTAAAAAAAAGTTTTTCGCTAGCGGTGGGAAAGAAAGGGAAGATTTCTTTTCTTAAATACCCTGCAAGCTAGAAGTCTCCTTTCAGATACAGCAAGATATAACCTGACGATAAGAATGAAAGGGATTTGCCAAACACCAGTTACAAGACTTGAAATACCCAATTTGACTCAGATTCAGACGACCTTAGAACTCAAGACCATTAAATCATCTGAAATCCAATTTTGCTGCAGATCTGAGATACACTTCAAAGTTCAGATGTAGTAAATTCAGTGTACATCTCTGCTTTTTTCCAATTTATTAGCATCGTAGTTAAAATGACTATTTCATTTGCAGTGGGCTGTGCTCTTGTCCTACTTTCCACTATTAAGATAGTGGTGCTTATCCAAAAGGATAAAAAAAATAACCATTAGCTAACTTCTCTCTTTCGTGTTCTACAGTGTTTGCAATCCTGTCCTTTCATCTGTTCCTACACTGGGCCTAAGAGACTAATTAAAATCTTGATAAGGAACTTTCTTTTGCACAGCATATATGCAAGATGTTTGTTTAGTCACTAAGTTCAAGCAGGAATAATCTTTGAAGTAATCTTTCCTTTTCTTCTTTTCATCCTCTGCCTGCTTGATACTGGGACCTACTTTTCTAATGCAGGAGAGTAATTTGCATCTGCTAGGTTAATTGTGTGTGCAAAGTACACATTGGGACATTCAGATCTAATTTAAATATTTTATGCCAAACTTGCACTGGATGTTTGCTCATGACAGGAAGACTTTTGTAGATGAAAAGGTCTCTTTGGTGCTAAAGTGTACATGTACATCGTGTCACAGAGCTGCACCAGAGGACATGAGCTGTAATTAAAGCTGAATTATGGTACAATCTGATATCAAAATTAGTGTGCCAAATGCTGAGAAATGCTGAACGACTGTTAATTAACAGACTCAGACTGTATCAGTGTAATGCATTCAGCACCTCAGAATTTAATCTAATTTAATTGCATGTACCTTCATCTAGAGAAAAGTTAATTTCCCTGTGGTCTTGAGCACTGTTTTCCAACCTGTTGCTTACAAACCTTTGAATGATCTCCAGAAATAATTCGAGGGCCCACACATGGCAATTGAAATAAAAGAATTCTGTGAGAATACTAAAATCAGTACATAATCTGGACAATTTTGATGGAACCACAAGATATTGAAAAACACTGACCTAGAGAAAACCACAGAGGTAGATGACTTGCAGAGGAGTTCTTCAGGAATTATCAAACGCACAGAGCCTTGGCATTTCAAAGGAGCTTACATTTAAGTCTCCTTTGAAAATATCATCCTAAAACCTGACATGAGAGTGGACAAAAATCAATCTATTTTCCAAGTATGGATTAAGTTGAAGGGAACCAGTTTGAAGCCAGGATCTTAAAAGGAACAGAGCTCAGAAACTGCATACGTTTGTGGAAAGGGAAAACATGAGCCACATTTATTGGACTTGGAAGCTTCATGAACACTTGGATGTCCCTTGTGTACAAATCACACCTCTTAATTACAGGCTGTGAATGACACAAGTCAGAAGAGAGATCATAGCAAAGAATTTTGTACACAATATGAGTTCAAATGAGTTTTAGAGCTTATGTCTGGATGACAGGGAGCTAATGCTCCTCAGAGAGTTTATTTCACTAAGAAATGAACTTTTTTTAAGTTGTCAACAAATTTGCTTTTATTTAAGGAAACAGTTCTGGATTTTTCATTGGAGAAGGAGATAAGGAGATAAGACAGTACACTAGGTTTTTTTCCTGGGGATTCTCCTACATCTTTAGCTGAGCAGGTAGCAACAAGAAAGAAACCTTGTTTAGAAAACCAGGATCTTCTCCACATGACATAATACCAAACAATAAAATTAGGAGAGGAAAAGATGGAAATGACCTTATTCTAGTCTCAAACTCGTAGCTGCTTTTGTTTATATTTTCTATACTTCTCTTGATTCTTTTCACAGGTTTCAGCTTTTACAGTAACTCCCCTGTACTGTGGTCACTCTCCTGTACTCTTCTCCCTCCAGATCATTTTGTACATGGATGTGTACCTGCCACCCTCTAGTCTGGATATCTTTCAGAAACTTGAAAGCATGTCAATGGGTGGTAGATAAAACTTTCAAAGGAAATATGAAGTCAGTGAGAATAGTAGTGGTATACAAGTACAGAAGAAGCAGCTCTAAGCAACTCAGTGTGAGTCATGAATCACACAGCTTGAGAACAGCTTTTTCAAATGAACTGAGGTGGAGTCTCTGAGCACTTTTATTCTCCAGCACCTTGGAGAAAACAATACAACTAAGCAATGGAGAAAAAAAGGTATTAGAAATAAGACGACACTCGGTTCAAGAGCAACTTGGACTTCTCCTTCCCGAAGAGACACACTAGCAAGTGTTGTCCGTGGTGACAGTGAGGGGATATGAAAATGAAACTTTTTCATGTATACATTTTGAGAAAGTATTCAGCATCCAAATTTCATACAGAATATATTTATCTCTTTGTTTAGCTAGAACTAACACAAATGACCAGTTTAGCTTCATGAGGCATGAATATGGCACTTTCTTCAATGATTTTAAAAGGGCAGGAAATTGATGCTGATTTTTAAAAGTTTTTAAAGAAATACTTTTAGACACTCAATTACTCCCATTCTTTTCAACATGTTATTATTGTTGAAAATCATTCATATGTTTCCAAGAAAATTAATTACCACTTGGGTCTCAAAATCTATCTTTCAGATGTTGCATGTGTTAAAAATGGCTGTTTGCTTACCTTAGATTTGTGATCTGATGTTAGTGTCTGAATTTTAATTTCCGTTTCTTTCTTCATTTCAAGACAATTACCTCCTCTAAAACAAAGGAAAATTGAAAATGTGTGCCACAAGTTAAACATCTTCCCATTCAGTCAGCTCTTACTAATTAAAATGTTAATCAAAGTTGAAGTGCTGCAGCGTATTGGAATGAAATAATTTCTTCTGGCAATTTATTCACAACTTACAAAATATTGTTGGATTAATGATCACTCAATTCAAACACCACACGATTAATTCTAGATTGGCCCAGCAATTATTCTATTGCTGAGGATATATCAAGTATCTCCATTTATGGTACTTGGTTCCTTTTCCAGGCTTAAAATACCTTGCCAAGAGAAAACAGTTTCTGCCTGAATACTAACAGGCATATTCATTGCATTGCCATGAGTATACCCTCCATTTTAAAAGTAATTTTTGCTACTTTTTTTCATTTTGAGGCTGAGAAAAAGAAGTCATTTGAACAACTACCTCACAGGGCAATTTGGGCATACTAAATTTGAATGCCTATTGAAAGTGTAAGCGCCCCTCTGTGAGAAAACAGAAGTGAATGGGTTGCAAAGAAGAGGACCTCATTACCCTGGCAGACCACACCAACCCACGTGGATGAATCCAAGCCATTAGATACCTCATATGACATGGAAAGCAACAAATCCTGAATACAGCATGGCCTTTGTTCTGGGTAACATTAATGGGGTTGAATGCAAGCTGCAAAGCTTGTTTAAGGCAGGAGTGCATGATTCTAAGGAACAGGCTGGTAAAATACCTGCGGGGGCCCATGCTGAAGCTCCCCTGATGTGCCTGTGGGTTAGGAGACAGATGACTTCTACCTCTCACCCACAGAATTTCCTTCACCAAGCCCAACTACTTGGGTCGTGAACCAACTCGGACGGATGTCCAGAAAAACTACTCCATTGCAGCTACAACAGGAATTTCAATTACTGTCTCACCAAAGTCAATAAATTTTTGAAGGCTGACAAGCTCCACCTTTACCAATCTTCTTGTTCCCTTTTCTGCAGTGAAGGGCTTTTACAACAGAATACAAATTCACACACTGGAAATCTCTGATTTTTTGTCTGGAATAATACAATATATTGAGAGGAGTCTATTTTAACATCACTGCAGTATTTCTGTGTTGGATCATCCACTGATGTAAAATGGTGTAACTCCACTGAGCGGATGGAGCCACATTCATTTTATCGTCAGAAGCTGGCCCTAGTAAGAATGGTTATTGCTTGACTGCAGTAACATTAATCCATGTTTGCTCTAGAAAATGGTATTTATGAAACTCTTAGAAAGTTTAAATCCCATTTTAATATCAAAGTACTGCTAAACTTATGGAAATTAGCAGAAAATTTTATCATCAAACAGTACCACGAAAGCCCTTACTGAAAATAGCAGTGTGATGTGCCTTGTGTTCCCAAGGGCCACCAGAAGGACTAGTAATTTATTTTCTAGTCATGGCAAGGAAATCCTTGTAGAGATTTCTAGCACTCATTTGACACTTTGGAAGTAATACAAAGGCATAGAGACAGGTTCTGACCACTGTTACCTCTGCCTGAAAAATAAACAGCTGGAAAGAAAGTGTCTTGATTACGCATGTGGGTAGTGATTCGAAGATGAGAGTCTGCCTATAAGTCATATATGATTTGTCATACACTATCAAAGAGACTGCTTCTTAGGTGAGTCAAACATATTTTATCCTAAATTAGTCTAATTGGTTCAATCACTAAACTTTTCAGAATCCCAGACATCAAAACCACCAGCCAATCCCTTTTCTGGAAATCCAGCTTTCATTATATCTCATGGCAGCTTCCAGTCAGGCTGGACATAATGAGAATTGTCGCCAACTGCAGAGGCATGATCCATGGGTAAACCATCAAGTCACAGCTGAGAACAAATACCCAGGGAACAGCCCAACCCAATGTCACATGTTCATGCTCAGGCACACATATATACTTGAATTTCTGGATAGTCCCAATAAATCAGAAGGATCTTTATGTGCCCTCCATTTCTGAGTGGGAACATGAGCATATGTATCCCCACAAGCCTCTCCAAGAGTTGTAAGCATTTGAAGCATACAGCAGAAATAGCACAGGGAGTAAAATCTTGTCCATCTGTCAGTGAATTAGCATGTGATTAAAAAATTCTACTTTGCTGAACAATATGCAGTTGACATTTGTCACACCATGTGGCAGAAATGGACCACGAAAAACTGCACAACAAAATCAAAAGGAAGGTCTTCTATATACCTATTAAAAAGTCTTTTTTTTCAGGAAGTATCTGACAAATTCAATACAAATGCCTTGAAAACACATTTTACATGTTCTTTTACAACTTTTATTGCTTGTAAAAGTTCCAAAATGGTAGCCAAGGAAATGGAGCATGTCCTGTACTCACTGAACCCAGGACCTCTTATTCATCAGATCATTTCTCAGATCATTTCAGCCCAATAAAGTCTTTAAGTCTCAGCCAATGTGTTCAGTTTTAAGCATGTCCTTAAATATACTGTGCAGTTGGGGTGAAAAGAAGTGTATGCAGAAGTACCTTGCTGAATGGACTTTCAGGGCTGCATACACAATGACCCTGAAGCCCTTAAAACACTTTGATACAGAATTAAAAAGTGTTTTCACAGAAAGTCTGTGCTGATACAGGATTTGACTTTGCTATTAATTACATACCAATAGTTATTCTTGTAACACTGAAGAGTCATCAGATCACTGCGAGCTCTGGAGTCCATGGAAAGTATGGAGTCATGGCAAGGAACAGTGTTTGGCTGTGTACTGGACCTGCTTCTGGAGTAGTCATTTCCAACTTTTTTGTTTTCCAACTTTTTATGATAATTTAGAACTATCATAAAGGCTTTGGCATTATTATTAAGTTATAAAATTAAAAAAGACACTGCAAGTAGCCCCTGAAGTGATCTCAAACTGGGAAATCAAATTATCAACCACTTTTATACTTGTCCCATTTGGGGTTACTCTGGAAAGCAGTGTTACCCAGCACTTTCCACTGTTTACTGTACAGAGACAGCCATTACCACCTTTAACTTTCTGAAACACTTTCATTTGCTGTTTTGCCTAGACAGGCAGAGGCACTGGCTTCTTCTCAAGACAACAGGAATACTGATTCATGACTCTTCTGATACAAGATTCTTAATTACCAGAGCACAGGGAAAGCCTTTCTTTCCCCACGATAATTATGGTGCAACGTCCAGGACTTAGTTCACTGCCACTGTAGTAAATACCCTGACCGTAATTATAAATCCAGATACATCAATAACCTTCTACTGTGTTATATTCAACAGAAATTGAATCAAAGGCACATTAAATCAATTAGTCCTGCAGTTGTTCCCTCTCTGTTTTGAGAAGTAGTAATTTTCTTGAAAGAACTGCTTGGAATAGAAGTATTTGGGTGCTTACAGTTCTCCTTTCTTGGAGAAAACAACCCCAACATGAGCGTTTAAAAGAGTTTGTGAGCTTTTAATAGTTTAGTGAGGAGAATTCTCCTTACCTTGGTTATTTCTGACAGTTTTATTTCTGTTTCATTGCAAGTTTATGACATGCACACTCAAAAACCATGGCCATTGCAAATAATTTATAAACCAAAAAGTATTTGTGGAAGAATCCAGTGCCAAAGAGGCATCTACGTTCAGTATTCCATAAGTCAGCTGGTTGCCAGTGGTTGTTGCCAGATGTCAAAAATATGAAATTAAGGCTAACTATCACCATAGCTTGATATAGAACTAAATAAGGTAATTCCTCCTTTAGGTAAGAGCATTATAGTATAAACCACTGTCTCAATGTCAGTCATAGGGTGAAAGTTGGAAAGGAGAAACTGCTGCCAGATTACACGATAGCAACAAGGCAATAGCAGGTCCTGCTACATAATTCCAGATGGGACAGTAAGAAGGACATTTTATTAAAGTCACCAGTATCTTCCAGGAACTTTTCTGGGACAATTAAGGATTCACACAGATAATGTCCCAAGCCATCAGCTAGTGCAAACCAAAACAGCTTCACTCAAGTCAAAGGAGTAATATTGATTTATCCCAGCTGAGGATCTGAAGGGTTTCTTTGTTAAAAAGAAACTTCAACTTGACAGCACAGAAAAACTCTGTTATTCTAAAAGGTTCAGGATTTAGAAGCTATTTTCCCAAAATCAAATAACTGCTGTTTTCTGGTCTTTAGAACTATTGAGGACCTTAGTCTGCTGTCACTGAACACAACAGTGACATTCCCTGGGGAATGCAGTGAGACCAGATCAGACCACAGAAATAAAAATTTGAGGCAACTCCTTCGCTTGTACTCTTAAAACTCTGATAGTAGAAGACTAGAGAAAGGCAAGGTAAAACATTTATGGCCCATTGCTAAAGCCTTCAAGCAGCTCACACTCAGTTTAATGTAGGATGCTGGTTCAAGCTGCAACTCATTCAATTAAATGACCTTTTTATGAATATTTCATTCCAGACCACAAAAGCATAAAATCTATTTTAAGTTTAAAAAAAATTTAAAGTAATATCTTACCCTTTCTTCTTGATTGCCTTCTCTAACATTTTCTCGTATGATACCTTTTCTTTATCATATTGTGCCACTATTTTGTCAATTTGTGTGCAGTGCAACTTCTGCATAGCGCTGTGCTCCTGGAAAACAGTAGGACCTCACAATTAGGTTGCTGGATTTTTAATGTTTCACTTTCTTACAGTGTAAAAATATTAGTGTATGAACAGATAACTTTAACAATGGAATTTAATCTGGTTTAGCCATCTGATAATAAAGGTTCCAGATAGTCCACTACAAGCATGAAAACATTTCTCCTGTGTTTGGAAAATGAAAATCTGTAGTGGACAATTGATCTTTTCGAATAAATGTCCATTTAAGTGCAATGTAAAAAATCAGTTTTACAAGCTCAGATCATATCATTCAAAGTTTCTGAATGCAGAGGAGAACAAAACTTAGCCCAGTCCCCCCTTCCTGTATATATCTCATACTGAATACAGTGCTAGTCCCTTGGCCACTGCAAATCAAATAGCTTCAAGTCCAAACATGAGATAGAGATCAAACCATTAACAACCGATGTTTTGAAGATCTGGCCCATGACCCCTAATGACAGTAGCCATCTTATCATGAAGAAATTCCACCTTGTTGCAGAGTGTCTCCCTTTGCAAGCGACAGTAAGCTGTGCAATACGACTTTCAACTACTCACGCAGACCGCAAATAGCCATTGCCCCCTGTTTTTCCCAACCCCCAAACAATACACCACATGCTGATAAACTGGACGTACAGGGCTACCTGTGGAGTATTACGTATCAATGCTAACCTGCTGTCACTACTATAGTTATGCGACTTACATTGGTGAAGTGGCAGAGGAGGTTATCTATGGAAGGGGAAGAAAAAGCTGTTCCTATGGTGAAAAGATGAATCACTAATGCATGCTACACACTAGGGTCTAGCATACAGACACTTCCTTTCCATTACAAGACTGTACCAGAAACAACACACTTCACCTAGTGCTTACATGTAGGCTTCATTGTTGAACTTGACTTCATATTGTCCTTTATCAGAACAGCTGCTCATAACGATCCAAATATTTAACTAGCACAGAGAGCACTAAATACTGAATTTACATTACAATAGGAAAAAAAAAAGTTGTTTGTTAATTTAGGCTATTTTATTAATATCCGATTGTGCCACATTTTATCTAATCATGACCAAAAGCCTTGCATTAATTAATATGGCCCCTTCTAGGAATTTATCTCTACTTTGTTTTATACCTCATTGTGCATTTATTCTACCCTCGCTATTCTAGTGCTCTTTGTTATTATTTTCTATACACCTACATATGCCTTATCACTATTTCTTCCTCTAAAAATACTAATTAAAGACTTTTACATTCACTTGTACCAAAACATTAATACAAATGTTGTGATGCTTTTAAAAGTCTAGCCCTGCGCTGTACTGAGCACTCCCAACACCTGCCAAGCACTTCCCCGGGGAACGCGTACAGCTTCCAAATTTTGTATTTAGAGTGGGGGACTCAATCTTCTGTTTTACAGAGGATTTAAAGGGAAACAAATAAGACTCCATCAACATTAAAACATGCCAGCTTCACCAGAAAGTACTTACACTGACTAATCAGGTAGAAAAAATATGGACAGTGAAAAGAATGACATAAGCTTGACAGCACCAGCCAACCACAGGTGAGTGGCTGAAAGCATCTCCCAAACTACCCACTCTCCCCTAGATTCTCCTCTAGATGAACAGAACAATACAATTCTTGCTACAAAAGACTAAGCACAAATATTGCAAAGCATGAGACACCTGCCCACTCATGTGACACTCCTCCATAATCTGAGAGGGCACATCACGTAGAGCTAGAATCTCTGCTTTTCCCTCACAGCAACCATGAGTTAACCCTTCTCTCTCTATCACAAATGCACTGTAATCTTTTGCAGACTCCTCTCTGCTGCTACTTACTGCTCATGCACAACTCTATCTTGTATCTGCAACAGATATACTGTGGACCCCTCACTATTATATCCCCCCTCATTTCCTTCCCTGGCTCTCTTCCCCATCCAGTTCATGGAACATGCGTTTGTTTATGCACAATATAAACAGAGCCAGAAGAGGAAGATGGGCTACTAACAACCTCCACATGCAAGGCACAAGGAGTACTAGAAGTCAAGTCCCTGACAGAGGTCTCTTGAATTATATGACCTTTGACTTCCGGAACCCTGTTGAAAACGGGTTAGCTGATGAGAGTTTGATTTTCTGTCTGTGCTCAAAGGAAAATTCATCACAGCTAGATGCTCAAGGAAAATTGATCACAACTAGATGCTGCATCCCAAACTTCTGTCAAGATTCTAAGAAATACAAGTGGTTTTGTAGCATCTTAAAACACCCTCAGTATATTTTATTTTCAGATGCAAACAAAGTTACAGGTGGTAACGTTCTAGATTGACTCAGAATATGTTTGCAGATAAAAGTCTCCTCAGCTAGGTCTCTCCTCGGTTCCTCAAGTCCATTGAATTTTCAGTTTGAATTCATACGCCTTTTACACGAATATATTCACAAATTACATTTAACGATTATATTACAAACTGAAGCCACAGTTCAGCCAGGGTTCTGAGAGGTCACCTAACTGATATAAAAAGACTCAAATCACAGCAAGACCATCCATCGAGAAAAAAGTGAAGAATCACATATAGTTCCCCACTAAGGGGAGGGGCGGAAGGGAGGCAGAAATCACAGTTCAGTCTGTTGAACAGAAGAGGAAGTAAGTTCCTATGATACAACTGTTACTCCTGCGTGGGATCTCTCTAAAGCCACATAAATACTCCTGTGTACAACTAAAAAGTGAAGTCTGGAGGATTCTCATTACAGAATACAAAAGTGAGGAAACAAAGAAAAGAGAATCTACCGTTTCCAAATCAACAAATCATTCTGCAGAACTTTATTAATCTAGAGTCCCATAGTCTTTTGTACTATCGCTTTTGCATTGTGAAGACTTTTTTTTTTTTACTAGGCTTTATTTCAAACAGTACATATATACAATGTCAATATAAATGTGCAAGAGATGAATTCTGGGATTTATATTTTTGGGTGGCAATTACACAATTCTGGTTACTGTCTATGGTCATATTAAATTCCTTAAGGGGGCACTTGTGGCTATCACTGTCTTGTCTGAAACGTGAACAATTCCCTTCTGTTTACTTATACCTTCAGCTCTCTGGAGTGTCTATGGTTAAACGAGAGCCAACCTATTTCTGGAAGTTCAGTCTGCTTAATACACAGGTTTCCTCAAGCTGATCATGGGTAACTAATTGCATAGCTCTCATGCTCCATCCCAGCTGATAAAATACATTAAAACCAGTGATAAGCACACCAAGCATTTCTCTAAGGTCATCTGTGAGCCAATATGGCCATAATTTTCTTCTCAGACTCTCCTCTCCAAATTCAAGAAGATGCCCTTGCTGGAGCCCTTTAGCAAGGCATGCTCTAGACAGGCACTTTCTTGTTAGGACAGACTCTGTACTTAAGACCAGCAGGACACAGGCTGGCTCAGACCTAAAATAGCTGTGCTTGAGCTAATGCTGAAAGCCCTTCTGAGTGCACTGCATTTTCAGACTGGCTGGCAATTTCTTCCTCAGATCAGAGAAAGCAAGTGCAAGCCTGAACAGATGGATCAATTTTTTTAACATTAGCAAGCGTGGTCTTGGCTAAGATATCCTTACACTACTGTGGGTCATATACATCAGGGACATAATTCATTGAGTATGATTGTTTTCTACGTAACCATGGTACCATTTTCATTTGCAAAAAGCTGCTACAGCAAACTGCTGGATGTTGTCCAGCGAATGAGAAAGTGGTATTTAAAAACAAGAAGCCTCCTAAAAGATCAATCCTATGAAGGTCCAGAAACTCTCCATGCCCAGAAATGTGGATGACAGACATTTTTTTCTTGAGGATAGGCTTTACACACAACACTAAAATGGAGAGATCACTCATTTCCCTTCTGCATAGAGTCAGTAAGGAGTCTGAAATGTAACTATTTAATTTTCTTGTACTACTTTTAATACTAAGAGCCCCACCAAAGTGCCAATTATTGAAAGTAATTTCTTCGTACTTTATTGTAGAGACATAGAGTTCCATGCCCAAACAAGTCATGAAAACAAACACAAAGACTGATACTAAAAATGCCCAGGCAACTAATTACGTCAGATCTGCAATGAAATCTGCAATCAAAGAGAGCAGGGGAATAACTGCCCCAAAAGCCCAGAATGGATTTGTATGTGTTGCCAAAATTCAGAACTTCACATACTTTCTTCACTTGTTATGCCTCTTTCTGTAACAAGAGTAAGGGTTTTCTAATGATAAAGGGTGGGAGAAAATTGGCTGTGACTTTCTAATGTAAAGTATACTTGTGATAATGTTGTATATATTCGGGACATCACTGCCAACAGTACCAAGCAAGAAGCTGACTATAAAGTGGTTAACACAGATGTAAGTGAGGAGGATTAGGGCATTTCATTTTTCAGTTACAAATGCCCGTTCTCTTTGGTGATTTTGCAGTTTCTCCAGTGCCTGTCTTCAGCAGCACACTCTTACGTCATTACTGCCTTTTCTTCCAAGGCACCTGTCAATACATCACGCAAGAGGGAGCTAGATAAAATCACTACCTGAAAAGGGTGAGCTTTGGATGCTTATATGGATCAAATAAACGTACCCCAAAACTCAGGAAGACATACAAAGGGTTGCTAAAGGAAAAATTTGCTCACTGGAACATATTTCAGTACATTTACAACACATATGCATTTCCTGGTCATCCAACTACTGTTCCTTAGTTTCTCCCTACAGTTTAATTAGGAGCTGTCTGTGCTAGTGACCACTGCAACTTTTTTTCAATTACAGTGTGTTGCTCAGGGAGCTCTTAATGATCATACCTTCGCATGCTTCTTCTTTAAGGCATTCAGCTCTTTCTGCTGTTTCTTTAAATGCTTTATATAAGCCTACAAAAAGAGAAGTTGGATCAATTTTTCTGTGGTCACATTAACTTTAACCAGACAAAATCCTGGCTACTTAAAACAAATAATTAGGAACACATCTTGAAAAGCTTGTATCCATACTTACCTTCATTTGCTTTAAATCTTCTATCTTCACTTGAGGAATAAGGTCTATACCTAGGAAGGTATTGATACAGTTTATCTAAAACTTCATACATACTTTCATCTCATACTTCTATATTTCAGTTTTACCACAGAAACCTACATTTAAGTTAGCAATCAATTAATGTTTTCCACCACATAAAAAATAATCGCAGGTTAATAAGAAAATTATTCATCAAGAGATAGCTGAGATACAGTTATTTCCTTATAAAATGCACTGCTGAGTCAATTGCCTTGTGAAAAAATAAATGAATCAATGAGTATATTTTAATCTCTTACAGTTCTGGGCTGAAGTGTCAAAACACAGCAGTCTAGGAATTTAATAAGCTCCTTTTCTGAAAACACAGCAAATCATTTATGTACATTAAAATTGAACCACGCAGAGTTCAGAATTTTGGTCCATAGCTGGAGGTTGCTCTAGTACCACTCATTTCAGGGGGGAGACTTCTTGGGTAAGGTCCTACTTGACTACATAAAGGGTTAATTGAGGTTAGGTATACTACTTCTCCTTAATTTAAAACACAAAGTCGTAGAAGTGGAAATTTACCTGCAGCCCGTATGTTAATGGAGGTAAAATTTGCATTTTGGTTAATACCAGGCTATGAGAAAAGGAGCAACAGTACACTCTAAGACTAAAGGAGAGTTAAAAATGGAGGAGAAGCATAAAATCATAAGAAGTTAAAATTCTAATGAAAATTCAATACAAATCTATCACACAAGACTAACAGTACTATTTAGATGAATGAAAATATATTTTGATCACCTTAACGGCAATACAAACAAAACCCAACCTCATTTCATGTTTATGTTTTAATAAATGTTTTGTGATACATTAGAATTCTTTTTAAACTACTAAGCACATCCTACATGTAATCATTAATAAAAATGTCAGTAACAGGCCATGAGAGTTGTAATGTGTAGATTTTTTCTGAGTTTTTACACAAAAATGTTGACCCGTACATAAATACACTGCAAAATGTATTTAGTTAACTGCTCTTAATAGTGTCTGTGGACTATAAGATTCCCCCTGCCTCAAAAAGGACTTTCTGCCTTTTAAGGTGAATTGAACTGGAAAATATGCAGATGCTGTAAAAGAAAAAAAGAAAGGTGCGGAAGGTAGGCAATCTCATTAAGGAACATGAATTTTTTGTTTTCTTAGAAGAATATGATTCTGCTCAATTATATGGTATTAACATTAGTCTAGTAAATGAGACTGAACAGATTTAGGCACAGACACAGGCTGAAGTTTTCAAAAATACAAATCACTTCACTATTACTGAAAGTCAGAGAACAAACACCTCCAACATTCTTGTGAATTTGAAAGCCTTCCTCAGACATCCTATCTTGCTGGACATGTAATTCCTAATAGTAAGGTGAGTTGTATGTTATAACAATGGTGGAATTATTCTGACCTTAAAAGATCATAGAGATAAGTAATACAAAATAAGGATCGTTACATGGGATATAAAAACATGCAAGAATATGGATAAAAACAGTTGCAGAAAAGAATGCGTAAGTACTGACATCTCAGCTTAAGACCAGGGCATGCTGTGCTCTGAACAAACTTCCTCAGGTTTCTATTTTAAAATGCAGACTCCTTTACTTTGTTCACCAGGTCTGACTCTACGGCAACCAGGAATTAGTTGCCAACCCCAGCAAATTTCATGCTTAATTAATGCACAATAAAACTAACACTTGTGCATCTTGGTGATGATACATGAAGTATGAAAACACCTCACTGCATAAAGTAATCTGGGTTTTATGCCAGGAAAGAACTCTGAAAGAGTTCAGGTGCCAGAGATGACCTATTTTATTGCCAAAGTGACTCCAGAGAAATGGCATCTTGTTTCTCCAGAGATCCCTTCACATGTGTGTATTAGCCATGTCTGCTTTTAAGTTTAAGAACAAGAGCAGCCAGTGCTCCTTATCACTCCTATCAATCCCTGTGGGCCACGGTGGATGAAAGAGAGTGAACCAGACTCTAATCCTTGTGGCCCATTAACAGAAATACTTATTGTGCTTCATTCAGCTGTACAAATTCATTTTCTCACTTAATCTTCATTACCTGTGATGATATGTGAGAAACAAATAATCCCATCTGATTCTATAAGATGATTTTGTAGAGTGACTGGGAGGAAAAAATACTTATTCACTTATAAATGAGTACATTTAATATGGATATTTATTACAATAAACATGCCATTTCCACAATCACTATTCAGAGTAAAACGCCACATCGAAAACATATCTAATTTTTGGGAAATCTCTACAGAATCCAGTGAATTCTAAATACCTTCAATTACTTAAATCTGCGACTCTGCCAAGGGATTTGTAGAGGGAGAAAAAAGAGCAGAAGAGCTTCTGTGGAGTGTATCAGAAAACACTCATTCCTATTGGCGTTCATCCAGTAGATCTTTAGTAAACTACTCCCAAGCAGTACGCAGGTTACTACTATTGGCAGTGGGCATACAGGTACACAAATAGGTTACTTAGCGAAATAAAGCTCTACTGGCTTTATACAGCCATTTTACTAATATAAAATTTATTTGCCACTAGACAAAGACCATTCTCAATGGCAAAAGTTACTTTCTAAAAGAGTAAGCATGAATAGAAATGCAAAACTAAAATTAAGTAATGAATACTTCTCTACGACTTTCTGAATCACTTCAGAACTGAGTGAGTGGCACACGATTATTGTCTACCTTTCTTAGCTTCGATCCCAGATCCAAAGCCTGCGGTGGTACTTGGCCGAAGTTCAGAGCTACTCTGAGGCGTTACATTGGCTTTGGCATTATTGGCTTTTCCTTTTCTATCATTCTTTGACGTGTCATTTGGTACATCTGCTATGTCACTCTGGAAGAAACATTCACATCATAATGAATTATTTGTTGTTTTACCTGTAGCATAAAAGTTGGGGTACAAGAAATCTCTGAACCTACTTACTTTGAATGTAATTAAGGCAATTGCAACATACTTTCAAACAACACTATACTCAGTAAAGCATTTGTAAGCTATTTTAAATGACTACCTACTAAAATATGGCTCCCTTCTCATTTCTTAAAATTTCTAAGGGATGTGTTAGTATGATCCGTGAAAAGTCAGTTAGTGAATGGTATTTCAGTACATGTTAACTAACATATGCCAACGTATTTCATAGCAAGCCAAAGAGGCTTATATTTGAAAATGAGAAATGGTAAGGTAACATGCCTTAATTGGAGAAGGACCAGTTTACTTTAAAAAAAGAACATAGCAGGAACATAAACGGGCTGTGTTTGTCATTAAGCTCTACTTACAGTTTCGATACCCATAGCTCTCATTTGGTCTGCTCTTTTCTCTGTGATAGACAAAAATTTCTTTGGATCTGATAAAGCATCCACAATGTCTGTTAAGAAAAAAAAAATCAACTTTTTAAGATCTTCAGAGGCATTTGGAAAGGAGTCTTTTACAAGAGCTTTATCTTACCCCTGTTGTTACGAGCCATGGCTTGCAACAATAGCCAAACTTTCCATAGTGAGCTTGGCAGGAATGAAAGTGCTCATTGCCACAGTGCTTGAACACACCAGGAACATGAATCAGAGTATAATGCACCAAGGGAGTGGTAGTAATCCAAGTACCTCACTTAAGAAAAACACACTGACTCCATCAGACCAAAGTTACTCTAACTTACTCCCAGGTGATGACACTAGATTTGAGATCAGAATGGGATCTCCTGAGCCACAAAGCACTGACAACTTTGTCTCTTGGTTATTCAAGGGGGTGCTGACTGACTTGGGACTGCAGGGGATTGTAGAAAATGCCGTTATACCTCCTAGCTAAATAGCAGTTTCAGATGGGTGGATAAAGCAATTGGGGAAATCTGTTATCATTCGCCTTTGTGATGCTCCATGTCTGGAACATGACAGGCTGTGAAATGGATTTTCTACGAACCATAATGAACAATATTTGAATCTTGCACATGACACAGTACAACTAGTGGTATCACAGCACTTCCTACCAAACGATATTGTATAGATTACTGAATCTGTTTTCCATATGCAGTGATCAACGTGAAAGCATAGGTTTATAGGAAGACAAAGACTCACAAATCTTTACCTGCATACTGAATAATCCCTTTCCATGCTTAATTTCAACAGTTAAAGAATTCACAAATGGCAAAGGAGGTCCTCCCCAACAAGAAATAATTTTACAAATTAAACTGATTCAGCACCTACGATAATAATGCATTCAGAGACCAAAGCAGCAATCTGTTGTGATGATCCCTTTGAAACCTTAACTTCAGTATTATGGAGAAAAGGGTCACCGGTCTCAGTTAATAAGTGTTCCCTGTCAGAACAGTAACTTAAGAAAGGAAGTCTGAACGCTGCAGTCCAACTGACTCATCATTCACTACAAAATATCGTCATTTAATTAACTCAGGTTTTCTGTCACGAGGGCTGGAAGGACCACGGACAGCGCTTCACTTGCAAGGAAGCTGTTTCTTTGCAGAATACTGCAAAGCCCTGTTTTGGCTGCTTATGAGTAAAAGAGAAATGCTTTTGTACCCTTGTATTCTAGACAGTCTCACTAGCATAACAGGACATTATTTCTGCAATGACAGTTCGACACTCACAGTTTTCATAATCATTTGAATTTTGTCCACGTTTCGTGTCATCTCTTCAGCCATCTTCCAAGTTAGCTTACTATGATACAAGACAGAGAAGCCGGTCCACTGACCAGATCTGTAAGGATATCCAATCCATCAAAAGCTTTGGGAAGAAACTTGCTGTTGTTCTTCTGCAAACTAGGGGCTGGGCTATATTATCTCCCTTCCAACCTAAGTTGTTGTATAAAATGTTACTTTTAAGTCACCAGATGCATTTCTCAATCAAAAAAGCACAGACAGGGCTCCCATTCCAACAAAAGTTGTATTAAATACATAGCATTACCCTTAACAGCTCTGTTTATCTACACATACAGGCCGCCTCCAATAACTGTTGTGACCTAACTATGTCTTCTGAAACTGTACTTCACATACACAAAAACCACGTAGAATTTATTTTCAGGCATAACAATGGCCTTGTAGCTCAGCACTACCTGTTTCCCCTTTCCTTAACTTAGTAAGCATGTCTTTGTCCTTGGCATATACTCTTCAATGAAAATCCAGGACTACACTGCCAACATGATGCATCAGTTGAAAATGGAACCTGATTATCACGAGCTTCAAGGTAAAAATGACTAGCATGTTTGGGAGAACAAGACCTTTGTAAATTGTATTAGTAACCATACGTGCACATCACCAAAGGCTCAGCATTTCTACAAGGGGGATGTGACTCATCACTGCTTCTCACATTGTCATTTGTCCTCTGCTTACATTTTTCTTTCTCCCCAGTGAGGTAAAGTGGGGGTGGGGAACGGCACTTGGTAGAAGAATCACAGTTAAATATAAAACTAGGAAAATCACTGGAAGAGTACATTACAGAGGACTCTAACCACTAACCTTTGGAGAATGCTACTTCATTCGGATTAATTTGCACCAGTATTGTGTTCTACTGGGAACAGAGTAATTGATGCAAATCAACCACATGAAATTACTAAGTTATATCAAAAGCAAAATTATGCACCTTTTAAAGCCTACAATGCATTACCTATTCTAGTTATTATTCAGTGCAAGTTTTTAAATCTTACTCATATAGGTTAAAAAAGAAAAAGAAATAAAAAAGAAAGTAGGCAGCTATTGAATTGAGCTATACTTTCCTACAGGTTTGCTAAAACAGCCATGGAGATCCTAATGATAGCTCATAAAACAAGGAGAGGTTCACTGCAGATGATAAGTAATTAAAAAACACATGCCAACAGAATACTAATGATTCCACTGAGTGTCAAACGTTATTTCCCAGTTGTTCATCATGCTGTTTTTCTATGTCGATGAGAAAAATACATGAGACACATCAAAACTATCTGGGAAGGGAAAGGAAAACTAACAACTGAACAATTAGTTCACGTTAATATACAGTTTGTCTTTCCCAACACTGATAGTAAGCTGTGACAACCAGTTCTCTCATTCTAGTAGCACTCTACTGTAATGATACTGTTACGTAGGGGTAGTAATGTTTTTCTGTGTCCTTGCCTCTACCAGATAAACCATCTGTAGAAATGCTGACAATGTAGTAGATCAACCAGTACTGCACTGCACACAATTTGCAAATTCTAAGCCAGTGTTCAAATTCTCTTTCAAAAACAATTTGTATAATGCAGTTTAAAAAAGAAAATAAAAAATCTCTTCTTCCTACGTGACCAGCACACTCAGCAGCTTGAGCCACATCAAAAAGCTAAATTTAAATTCTACTCTTAGAAAAAGTGTGGTATCATTCAGAAAAACATCAATCTCAAATCAGAAGCACGTGCCTAGTTTAGAACATATTTTAACCGAGTCCTTTACTGTCAAAAGCTTAAGTTCAGGAAAGAATTAAAGCACATGCTTAAAAGTGTCCCTTAGATTCATGGTTCAATTACTGCCTCGAGAATTTCAAGCTTAAGCAGAAGCTTACTTTTGTCTTGAGACAAAGTCCCTGAAGTTAAATACTGTAGACTAAATATGCTACATAAAGGCATGGTAGTGCTTCAAGACCTGTGGCAAAACTCCAGCTGAACTGTCAGCAACCAGGATTTCATATACAAATACCACAAATCCTTCTGTAAATGCTTAACTTTTTCCATGAAATATTGTTACTGCCATCTAGGCCTGCTCATTTTTTTAAAGCCTGGATAAATACCAACAGACTTGAACATGCACTATCTAATATGTTAGGTAAGCCCTCCCTTTCTCCAGTCTGCACTATGGCAATGACACTCAGAGAAGTGGCAGTAATTCTTTGCATGGGCAGCAGGTTTGAAATAATTTTTGCAAAGAGCAAAACATCATTTTTATCAACAAAGTTTCACCAATCAGCTCTAAGGTGAACTTCATTTTGCTGCAGAGTCAGAGCACTAACATTCAGAGTAACTTCTATTTTACAGTTTTAAATGGTTTACATATTGTCTAACATACAAGTGAATTTCATCGTCAGTGAAGAAAATGCTTCCCAGAGGTACAGCCTCAGGGTGAACTTACCCATTACACTGATTTAAGCGGTGTAATGATTATTCTCAGCTGTTTGTTCCTATCCACATGTGGCAATTTGCCACCGCTCAGTATACATGACTATGGCCCTGTCAACCTATCACAGAAATGGCTCACACTAAAAATGACTTTCCTGAAAACCCCCAAACACTTAAACCATAACAAAACCATGTAAAACTGGGAGAGCAAAAATGAAGAAAATTTTTGGATGCTAAATTATTTAACAGTTTATTTTTAACAATACGCCAACATTCTCAAGAATACAAAGTGTTTTTGTTTGGAAAAACACATGTCTAGATTCTGCATCAATTGTTTATACCTATAGGCCAAAACATATAGCTAAAGTACAGGTTAATCTTACAAATATTTATGTCAGAAAAAATGTAATTTAAAAAACCAAATCAAAAGAAGAATCTTCCTAAAATGCCAACAGAGAAAATAAAATTGAGCTAACTAGTATTAGCTTATTTTCCATGCTATTTCGTCATTTAACAGATACATGTCATTATAATTAACACTGAGGCAGGCAGTTGGTCTGAAAGCTGATTTCTTAACTGAATATTACAGGGTTTCCAAGGAGCTAAAATACTAAATCTTTCCAATCCTCCAGTATTGCGTGTCTGCTTCCAGCTGGCTTCAGTACTTCCACACCAACACTCAAGATTACAGCACACAGAGATACAGGTTTATCTCACCTCCAAACCCATCAGGCACATATGTTTTAAGCACAATGTTGCAGAAAACCGTTGGAAGAGAGAGTGGTTTGTTGCCCTCATTTCGAAGGGAAATGTGTCTGTAACCTGCTTGCAGGCCATCAAGAGGCAGGATTCTCTGACCAATCAACTTATTATTGTCATCATACACTGCTATTCTCAGGACAGCAAGATCAGGGAGAATAACCTGGAAAGCCACAAAATGAAGAAATTAAATGACTAATACAGTAACACACTCCCCGCCTCCCATGTTTGAACCGTTCACTTTGTATGCCAGAAACACGCTATCACGACTGTAAGATGCAAACTGCGAACTTTCAGATGACTCTTTCCTAGAAAAGCTTTTTTTCACCCTAAATAATAGGTAGATTTCAGAATATGCAAATCCTGCAGCTTACAGTTACACTAGCTAAATATTTTGCACTTCTATTTTTCATTACTGAAGACTGGTGACATCAATAGGAAGGCAGGTAAATACCACCTGGGAAATGACAGATACAGTGGCAACTGAAGGGTACGTAGTACTGAATCGGGAGGAACTATGACAGAAACATGGGATTTGGGATGTATCCAAAATGGCAGTGAAGAACAGAAAGAGTGCAAGCACAAGCTGATGGGGATGTACGCTGAACTACGGATTCTGCAGAGGGGAGAAGTAGACAGAGGAGGGCAGGACAGGCTGACAGACCTGCTGAAATGGCATGGGGCCAGCAGAAGTAGGTCTGCTGTGCTCATGACATCAAGTGTACATGGTATGCATGGCAGGCAGGGATGCTGCCAGCTATCTGCATCTGTCAGCTCCCTTCTGGACCGACCAGAACAGTAACAAAGAACTCCCCTGCCTTCCCTGGAACAAAGGTGCTGCCTCTGCGCACCGAGCAGTGAGGAGAAGACAGCCTGAGTGGTACAGCCTCTCTGCCAGCCTGCCTCAACTGTATGCTCGGACAGGTCTTCCCACTCCTTCCCTACCTGGCTCTATACATTGATGCTCATGGGACAAAAGGAAAAGACCTAAGTAAACTTTGTCTGCTGTCTCTCTTAGACCTTCCCCCTGCCGCTTTAATTTTCAGTCTTAGAGGGCACAAAATAAAGTATGCTTTTGGTCTGTGAACCCAGGTGAGCTATTCATGGATATGCTGCTCTACTTGACTGTAACTTAGTGCTACCAGCAGCACTCACCCCATCCTCCCCCTTACACAACAGAGTGACAACACAGAACTTGGGTTAGAACGACTAAAGCTTTATTTTAATTAAAATAAAACCACATGACAGAAGAACAATCAAACACATTACCTCAGAGCAACCGCGTAGGATTAAACATCAGCTTGAGGAGAACACTGTAACCCAAATAGGGCAGGTAAGGTCTCTCCTCTACAGGTCACAGATCAGGACATCTTTTGTTACATGATGTGCTCAGATATAGATTTTCTAGGGAGCAGAAGTGAGGACTAAGAAGTTTATCATTCCCTCTCCATGAATTTGTTCTATGGTATCCTGGCAGGCACTTCGACCCTCATGACATTTTAGCGCTGGGCACCCCATGCCTTCATTTCCTCCAACTAGAGGAATTGTTCCTGCTGTGTTTATGCCACTCATCTGCTTGGTCATCAATGTATGTCATGATCACAATGTTATGTCTGATATGATAAGGGCCTGAGATGAGGAAACATAATCTCTTGGCTGACTTACAGTATGAGTTATTCAAGAGAATGTGCAACCACGTGACTGTTCATTGCAGAGTAGAGCAGAAAGTCTGAGGAATATTTGCGTCAGCTACAATACACAGGTACCCCCTTTTAGACTGAAGCTGTGTGCGCACCCTGTAGTTTATGGGCCTTTTTTATTTAAGAAAGCAGAAAGCAGCAGATGCTGGCCATATGGCCAGCAAGCCATGGGCAGCATGATTGCCTGTCATTGTACCTAACTGTCTTCCCTGTGCCTCCTCATGTACTCTCATATACAGAGAAAGGCACTTGAAGTCACATTCATTCCAGAATATATGAGTCCAGAAAAGCCTCCTGCATTAACTACATTTGTATTAAAATTGGATTATACTGTTAAGAAAGCAGATTATGTGTGTAATATGCCCAAGTGTGAAGTGTTATCACTACTCGGCAAAGTCCGCCTCTTTGGAATAAAAGAGCAACAATTTTGCATGACAACAAAACAGGTATAAGCAAAACGGACATTATCAAAGACAGCACTGCTAACACATGTAGTCTGGATGAAACTCCAGCTGACAGAAAAAAAAAGATATATATGTGTATCATATATATATAAAGACTGAGAGATAAAAACTGAACACAGATGACTGATCTCTCTCTCTAAATCCCCCATACCAAGAAAAAAAGGTTTGTTTTTCTTTCATTATTGAAAAAAAAAATAAAGAAAAAGGTACATGATGCACGTGGACTATTGAAGGAGGGAGCTGGCAACATATGAGGAACACAGCACCCTTCCAACTTTTCCATGTAATAACATTGACCTTAGCTTTGGATGCAGCATCTCACCTGCCCTCTGGGCTGAAGGAACAGTGCAAGATAGCAGCCACTGCCAGGGCAGGGAAGAAGAAATCTCCAAGGAATGATGGTGTCCACCAGCGGGGGCTCATTCTGAGCAGACTGCATACCTTGAACACAGGCATGGCCACGGAAGAGGTGGCTACCTCCAAGTGGGAGGAGGAAGCAAAGGGGAGGGAAAAGCCAAACAGAAACAAACAAACAAAAAAATCATGTGACAGCTACAGAGGTTATCCATTAGAAAAATAAAGCAAAGCAAAATTAAAAAAAAAACAAAACAACCTCTTGAACCTTATTTCAGCTTTAGATTGTTTACTCTAGTAAACAGGAACCCTACAAACCCTTTTTCATGGGAGCCATAATTATTCATGTGAGCAGTCAGACTGAAGCAGGGAGAGGTGGCTCAAGTGAGCAAGGATGCTCAAGTGAGCAAGGATGCTCATGTGTAAAAGGGCCGGCAACAACAAACTGTGCTTTCCAAATATCCTACCTTTCGAAATACAAATGATTCTTCATTGTAAACGGGGTTCAGGCCATTATTCATCACCATGCGTGTTCGAAATTCTTTACGTATCGTGTCCGTGGGTAAACCATACATATCCACTTCTACATACGTACCAATTTTTTTGTCTGATAAGAACTGACCAGATATTACCTGCAACATAACAACAGAGCAGTAAGGAAAAGCAGAACAAAGTAAACAGCATTCTGTGAATACTGGAAATACGGGTATTTTTTTATTGACAGCAGTCTGAAAAATGCTTTATACAGAACAGATATATTTAATCATATGAAAATGGTATATTTAGTGCTAAAATTGCACTTCTTGAAAAAAGTTTTTGTGATAAGACCTTAAATATATTGTTAATTTGAAATGATTGTGCTCATTGTCCTATGGTATTAACATTTGTAAGTCAATCAGCCAACGTCTCACAGATGTGTTCACTATATTACTGAAAAACACTGAATGAAACAACCAGATTAGTCACTGCTATTCTGCAGCTTTAAACTCTCTGTTCAGAAGCGCTGTAATTTATTATATGTCTTGACTACAAAGAGATGAAAGGAACCTAATGCCCTTCTTTCACTTAGGTAAAGGTACTAAACTAATTACATGTCAATCTAACTCCATATTATGTGTCTGGGAAGTGTACGATGCTTAATAAGCAAACAAACAAAACTTCCACATCAATCCTCTATATTGTTATGTATATGAAGATTTGTTGCAATTTTACTCCAAGTCAAGATTAATCTAGCCATAGCAGGTGATTACTCCAGGGAAAATTTTTATTCCAACAAGATGATCTACTACTTAAAAATACAGCTGTTTTCGTTACTATGATCAAGGAGGAAAGAAAAAAACAAAAACTGATTTCATAGATTTAAGCTCATTTCGAGTCCTTTTCTTTTCATGATCTAACATTCTTCCAGGGAACTCTCAGGATAACAAATCTGAAAAATTATGTGGCTGAGGGTACCATCACTGGCTTTGGTCCACTCAACTGCTTTATAACAGAATTTATAGAATCATAGAAAGTTTTGGGTCGGAAGGGACCCCTAGAGGTCATCTAGTCCAACCCCCCTGCAGCGAGCAGGGACACCACTAACTAGATCAGGTTGCTCAGAGCCCTGTCCAACCTGGTCTTGAATGTTTCCAGGGATGGGGCCTCCACCACCTCTCTGGGCAACCCGTTCCAGTGTTTCACAACCCTCATTGTAAAGAATTTCTTCCTTATATCCAGCCTAAACCTACCCTGTTTTAGTTTAAAACCATTACCCCTCGTCCTGTCACTGCTGTCTCTACTAAAAAGATTGTCCCCATCTTTCCTATAGGCTCCCTTTAAGTACTGAAAGGCTGCAATCAGGTCTCCCCGCAGCCTTCTCTTCTCCAGGCTGAACAAGCCCAACTCTCTCAGCCTGTCCTCATAGGAGAGGTGCTCCAGCCCTCGGATCATTTTTGTAGCCCTCCTTTGGACCCGCTCCAACAGTTCCATGTCTTTCTTGTGCTGA